CTGCATGTGCATTGACGGGTGACATAGAAAAGATGTATCGTCAAATACGGCTTGACCCAACTCAAACGTCATTGCATAGAGTAGTGTGGAGGGAAGATCCATCGCATAATATCAAGATTGGCGAGTTACTTACTTTAACTTATGGGACAGCCTCAGCATCAGCCATAGCTACCGAATCCTTGGAGCAGTTGGCAAAATCCAAAATGGATAAATATCCTAAGGGAGCTATAGCAGTACTCAAAGGCTTTTACATGGACGATTTTGTTTACGGAGAAGACGACGAAGAAGAAGTATTGAAGATTCATAGGCAAGTAACGGCCTTACTTGCTGAAGGAGGTTTCAGAATTCGCAAATGGGCATCCAACAGCAGCGGCGTTCTAAAAGAGATATCACAATCGTCATCAAAGGATTACTTACTAGAGTTAGATAAGGATGGAGCTGCTAAAACATTAGGTGTCGTCTGGAATCCAAGCAAGGATGTTTTTCTATACAGAATATCAATTAAAGCGTCTGCTACACAATCACACACGAAGAGATCCATCCTATCGCAAATCGCACAAATATTCGACCCATTAGGATTGTTGGGTCCAGTTATAATTACTGCAAAGATATTGATGCAGCGTCTTTGGAAGATGAAAATCGACTGGAACGAAACGTTACCCAGGCAGATTCGTACGGAGTGGTCTACCTACATCCACGAGCTACAGGACCTAGAGAAAATCAGCATACCACGGAAGATCGTTCGGAGTGGACAAGGCGTTCGTAAAGAAATCCACGGATTCTGTGACGCAAGCGAACACGCTTATGGTGCTTGTGTATACATGCGCAGCATCGGAACGGACGGAGTAGCGGAAGTACATTTAATATGTGCCAAATCTAGAGTTGCACCCCTTAAAGTACTGTCCACACCAAGACTGGAACTTCAAGGTGCCGAGTTATTATCTGAGCTTATGGAAAAGGTTGCAAACGCCCTGGAAGGGAAAATCGAGGAGAAATTTTACTGGACAGACGCAAAAATAGTGCTGTATTGGATTCAGGCCAGCAACAAGAAGCTACCAGTCTTCGTGGCTCACAGAGTAGGCAGTATTCAAGAAAGAACAGCTGTTGATAATTGGAGACATGTCGGAAGTAAAGAGAACCCGGCAGATTTGATTTCACGTGGCATCAGCGCCAAGGAATTAATGCATTCGCAACTCTGGTGGGAAGGACCGCAATGGTTACGGTGTAATGACCTGCCGGAAAGCCAGCAAAAAGTGACGGAATACGATGAAAGTCAGCTTGCGAAAAACGACAGAGCAAGAGTAGTTACAGTAGCTAGCTGTCAGGAAACAAGTCCGTTCTACAAATTTTCTACGTTCACTAAGGTTATACGGATAGCAGCCACATGTTTACGATTTGTTCATAATTGCAAACGGCAAAAACATTACGGACCATTGACAGTCGACGAGTTGGAAGAAGCAACTAAATGTCTAATACGCAGAGAGCAGGCAATAACGTTTTCCAAGGACATACAAGATTTAACGAGGCAAGGAACTGTATCCAATCAAAGCAGCCTAAAGCATTTGACGCCTTTTATCGACGAAGAAAACTTAATTCGAGTAGGTGGCAGACTACAACACGCGAACTTACGGTCGGACGTCAAGCATCCTTGGTTATTGCTCCAGCGTTCAAAAGTCACGGAGCTCATCATCGAGCACGAACATCGAAAACTCATGCATGCTGGTTCGGAGGCCACTTTAGCTGCGATGCGACTCAGGTATTGGTCCCCCAAGGCGCGCGGTACCATCAGAAGAGTACTTCGGAGATGTATAAGATGCTTTAAGGCTAAGCCGAAATTTTCGGAACAATTGATGGGAGATCTACCTACTCATCGTGTAATACAGTCAAGACCATTCAGTCATACTGGTGTAGATTTTTGCGGACCAATATATGTTCGTGAGGGTTCGCGAAAAAATGCCTAAAGCGTCAAGGCGTATGTGGCCGTATTTGTGTGTATGGCTACAAAAGCTGTTCACTTGGAGGTGGTGTCAAGCATGACCACCGACGCCTTCTTAAGCGCCTTCAAAAGATTCATTGCGAGAAGAGGCAAACCTTCAGATGTATTCTCTGATAACGGCACCAATTTCGTTGGAGCAAACCGCGAATTGGAAGAACTTAGAGACATATTCACCAAAGAAGAGCACCAGCATAAGATCACAGAAGTCGCTGCTTCAGACCAAATTAAGTGGCACTTTATTCCACCTCGGGCCCCTCATTTCGGCGGACTGTGGGAGGCAACTGTAAAGGCATTCAAGAGACATTTCTACAAAGTAGCAGCCGATACGAAATTGACATTCGAGGAAGCATCTACTCTCGTGATACAGATAGAAGCAATTCTTAATTCGAGACCTCTGATAACTGTATCATCTGACCCTAATGATCTTAGTTATGTTTCAGCGGGGCATTTTCTCATAGGCGACACAATAACGTCTTATCCAGAGCCTGATGTAACTCAATTAAAAGTTAACCGCCTATCACGTTGGCAGCATCTGGAGCAAATGAGGCAGCATTTCTGGAGACGATGGTCCAATGAGTACTTACTCCAGCTTCAAAATCGAACAAAGTGGTGTTCGAATCGTGGCCCAGCGCTCAAGGTTGGTCAACTGGTCATTTGTCGAGAGGATGGTTTACCGCCATTGAAGTGGGTTCTTGGGCGAGTCCAAGAAACATGCCCAGGGGCTGATGGAGTGGTGCGCACGGCTGTTATTAAGACATCAACAGGATCTTTCAAACGCCCAGCAGCTAAATTGGCAATACTGCCATTGGAAGAAGATTTGGACAACACGACAGACTGAACATTGTATCATTCTGAAGAAGATTGTTAAAATCAAGCTGTATAGTATTTACGAAGATTGTAAAATTAGCTGTAAGTTATTTTGTTTTGCGAGTTTCGAGTAGGATTTTATATTTTCACGAATCACTAATGAATAATACAAGTTATCTTATTTTAGTTTATGTTTTGATAGTCCAAGCCTATCAAGGCGCGCGGTATGTTACGGGAGTTAATATTCAAGCGTTCCGAATTAGATATTTCTCGG